ACTCCAGTATCAGAACTACTGATTAATAGCTACCTGTTGTAGATACAGCATAATAAAAAAACCCATGTTTTATATGCTTTCAACAATAGAATTAATTCTTTAGTTTATAATATGCATTAAAGTTTGCTTTAGAAAATAAATTTTATTCCACTAATAAGCCTTCAATAACAACAGATACGAGACCGATTCAAATAAAAAACTGCAACTTTTGGAAACATATGCTCAAAAAATTTAAAAGCAATAACTCTTTCACAAACTTCTGTTAACATACTACATCTCTTCCAATAAAAATTAATTAAAATTATTTTAATAAAAATTTATCATATGTTTAATCCCTACCCCGCAAGAAGTTTGGTACGGCCTGTCTGGAAAGTTGAAGATTTACTGGAGCCGATTACACATGAAAACCCAAAGATATGAATAGTATTTACCTGACCATTTACACGCTTTAAGCAATTTTAAAAAATGTTTTCTTATTTAAACGCTTCATAGGTGTTTGAAGACTGTTTTTGTTCTCTTATTTCGTTAACTTCTGTAGTAGATAAACTCAAACAGATGTTTTCTGTAAAAACACTAGTAGAACATTTTATCGTACCTTTACGAGTATAATAATAACAAATGACAACGACAATATACAAGCATTTTAACAATTGAAGAAACCACTAACGAAAAACTCAGAACATTCAAGACTAGAAAACTCTAACAGCATATTTTTTATGCAAAATGCGTTATTAGAAAAAGATTATCACTCACTTGTAACTATAAGCCTTTGTAAGAGAAGAATTCTTAGTGCAACATTGAACGTAAAAAATTATTTTATTAAACTGTAAAGTGCAAAGAAAAGTCTTTTAAGTTACACTCTTTATAAAACTTTTACTTTTACGACTACACAAAAAACACTAATCAGACAAAATTATTGTACTAAGCAAAGTTAGCAGTTATATTTGCTTTACTAATTTTACATATGAGCAGCAGTGGGAAGCAGTTTGAGATATAATTTGTGAACACCAAACTGGAGGTTTAGAGGCTCTCTTCAAAACCTGTTCTTTGTGGTAATTTCTGGCTCATTTTTGAGTTTTTATTTGTCTCAAACAGATTTTACCATTAATTTTCCGCTGCCGTTTTGATTCTAATGTATCCATTTAGCTGATCAACTAAGTAAAAAAATATTTTACTTTACGATAATCGGTCAGTCCCTCGAGAAAAAAAGTTTGAAGATTCAGATGAATCATCGTCGTATTGCCTGGAGTAACCAACAGTATCATAACTCTAAAACATCGACTACGTTATCATTTCTAATGAGTGGATCTTTTAGGGTAGCATTAGAACTGAACTCACTTGATTAACGGTTTTCAATTTTTGTTCGTCGCTGGGATCTGTGTATTCACTTTCGTCTCTTATCAAAAAGAACCGCGTAAGGTTTAACTGCCTTACGCTGTAAAGCGTCGCTAGGAAGAGCATCATGCAACATAAACCAGCCAATAAGTAAACTAAATTATCTATTCTTAGAAATATTAATCAGTTTCCTTTATTTAATACTAATAATTGTTCAACATTTTGTGACATTTATCATCTTCTTAAACTACAAAATTTATCACTGAGTTAATACAGTTGTAAAGAGTAAAGGCAGACCTAATAAAAGTTATTATGGAAAAAAAGCTAACCTGTTACCAAAACCTTGTAAAATCCTCTAAATTGTTGGTCCGGACTGTCACCAGGAACGTATTCTCCTGTTTCAATTAGTAATTATTCCCATAAAATAATGCTGTTATTTGTATTTTATTGTACAATTATAACTTAAACGAACGTCTCAAAACAAAAGAATAAAAAAGTTCTCAAAGAAAACTTAAAAAGTCAGAAAATGAAAAATAAAATACGTAGTAGTAGATGATACCTAGTCCAATAGTTGTTAAGGAAACGAAGCAATAATAAACTGCATCTAAGAAATCCCAGTCCTTTTCGATATGCTCAAAAATATATGCCGGAATTACAAAGACAAATACTAGCAACAAGAGGCTGACCAGTAATAAGTGAAATATCTGCAAAAAAAAAAGAAAGACAATAAACACTAAAAAAACAATTTATTTATATTTAAAAAAGTTTCTTTAAGCAAAACAGCAAACTTTTTTTATGAACAAAACCTACGAACTACCTGAAATTGTAATAGTGACTTCCCTATACCAGGTTTTATTCCGTAAAGCCTAATGATTTCCTCAAAATAACCTACATCTGCCAAACAGCTTTCTTACAGCAAAGGCAATGATGTACTAATTGCTTCAAACGTATATTATGCTCTCAACAGGTGACTATTAACTGTTCTTTTTCATATTCAAAAGATTAACAACTCTACCTGGATTTGAGTATTTCTAAACAAACGTCCAAAACGTTGATTAAGTTTTTCTCTTAACCAAAAGCTCGGCTGCTGAAGGCGAACAACAATTGAAGATAGAAGAGCTAAGGTTAGTGGAATTCCAATAATGCAATAAATTATTGTAAAGAATTTGCCTTGTCTTGTCCTCGGCGCTACTCGACCATATCCTATTATACTCATACATAGAAACGGCTAATAAACGGTAGCTTATTTTATTCATTCAAATCTTTCAAGTATCAAGTTGTCTAATACCACCCTTCTTTATTCAATTCAATTCTTTCAAACCTATCATTTCTCTCTGCTTTCTTCGCTCAACACGTTTATCCTCCTTCTTCTTTACGCTGCAGAAGGTGGTAAAATTGGTAATTTGAAACTTCTTTTTTTTTTTTTAAACTTAACGTTTCGTATTGCAAGCTTCACGAAGAAAAACCTACAAGAAGCTGCAAAAAAAGAAAACGTTGTTTATTTACATATATATATATATATATATATATA